GTACATATGCAGCAAGCTCCTGAGACTTCTGAGGATCCTCTGATGTAAATCTGACTGGTTCTTGGTTTTTCCCATTGCAGACTTGGGCTTTGGTTGCCTAGTGTTGGCTAAATCAGTTATCTTTCATCCATCAGCTTTCCCACTCTAAAATGTTGTTACTATTATCTTCTCCCCTGCTTTATCTTATTCTTCAGGATTTGTCTTTTTTTAAACATATTTTTTTCTGTAGTGTTAGTTGGGGTTTAAGGGGAAGTAAAATTAAAATGTATGTTTGATGCACTAGTGTAACCTGGAAGTCTATAGCTGCCTTTTAAATATGCTTCATCTTTACCTTGAAAACTTCCTATTTTCCCAAGATGATATGATATAGCCTGGAAGACACAGATGCTTAATGAACAAATATTGATAATGATAACATCCAAAGGTGGCTAAAAATAGAAGCCCTAATGCCCAGCAATGGCAAAGTGAAATGCATATTGGACAGGAAGCCTAGGCACCTAAATTATGAGAAGGCCAGTGACCTTGGACAAGTGGTCTACCCTCTCTGATCCTCAGTTTCCTCATCTGAAAGAAAAAGAGGTTGGGCTCAATCATTTCTAAGGCTCACACCAGTCCTAAAATGCTATGTAATTTTTTTCTGAATTCCAGGAGGGAAAAGTGAAATTTTACTCTTTAAAGCAAGATCCATGCCCTGCTCATGTGTTTCCAGCACATAATGTGGCTACATGATAAATTCTTGTTGAAGTTAATTAAACTAAAGAAGTAATCATTCCTTTAGTTGGTTTGTATTGAATAAGGAGTAACCACTGTACCTCTTTAAAGAAATATTTTCTCCTTTCTCCTGCTCAAAAGAATTCTCTTTGTTCTTTGCTTTTCCAGTTGTTCCCATGACTTTGCCAACTAAAGTTCTAAATACCCACCGTAAATCACTGAATCTTGTTGATTCTCCTCAGCCACTCCTAAAACAGGTAAGATATTTACTCATTTTTTTAATAAGTGTAACATTCTTTGTTGCTGGCATAGCCTCAAGAAGTCTTTTAAATGGTTAAACTCAAAAGAAAGAGCGTATTTCCGTGTGAACCCACTCAGTCGTCTAGAATCTGCTTTGTGTCAGTCTGCACGCTGAGTTTGACGCAAACCTCTATGTCTGGCATGTAGGAAAAGTCCACTGACTTTTTGCCCACTCATCAGAATCTGTGTCACACTGGAGGAAATAAGCTAGCTCACTACCTAGCCCTGTCCTGTCTGCCAGCCAAGGCCGGGCTACTTGCAGACTGGGGTACAAAACCAGAAAAGTTTCCTCAGGGGAATAAATCTCAGGGTGTTCCCCACTGGGTCCCATAATGTTGTTTTATCCAGAAATCTCCCTTGATTTTCTCCCATGTGAATAGAAAGATTCAGTGTCTAAAATATTGAAGAATATTTTAACCTAAGCTCAATTTTAGGTTGTTTAAAACTGACATACTTTTTGCATTTGTTTTTGTTTTAAAATATATTTTATTGAAGTATAATGTTTATAGAAAAGTGTATAGAGTGTAAGTATACAGCTCAATGAATGATCACCTAGCCAACAGAGGCGAGTAAATGACCAACCACCCCTGGTACCCCTCCCAGTCGCTTCCACCCCTCCACTCCAAAGATAACTGCTAGCATAAATTCTAACACCAGGGGTTAGTTCTGTTTTTGAACTTGGTATAAATAAAACTCATATGTATTTTAACATGTTCAGTCCAGTCTCTTGCAAACATTGACTAACACAGTGAATCACTGATAAAAAATAGTAAAGCACATAAATAAAAAACTACAAAAGATTCACTGAAAACCTGGAGCACAGCCACAGAGTTCCAAGACCAGGTCGATGAGTCACTTCTGATCTGAAGGTTCTCATGCTCAGCTCTTCTCCCCCGCTTTTTGACTTTTGTAGGGCCAGACCCCTGAGGATGACTTCCAGTGGCCCAGAGACGACCATGGTGATGTGGACTGCGAGAAGCTGGTTGAGCAGCTGAAAGACTGTTCGAACCTACAGGACCAGGCAGACATTCTGTACATTCTGTATGTAATAAAGTAAGTTTCTGGTCTTTACTAGGCCAAGCTTCCCCCAATCTCCTTGATTCTGTCCCAGTCTTCTTGGCCTTCCAGCAATCTGGGGCATGACTCTATCACCCAAATTACCCAGGATCACTACAAACAAACCTCCATGCCTTTTTCTGCCTGCTCATGCTGGCCTCTCAGGATGAGGAGGCTGGTGAGGCCAAGATCTCACCGTTTCCTGAGGTTAGGCTTCTGTTTCAAGTGGACAGAGGGATGCTTTGGTAAGACTCAACCCAATCCTGAGACGGAGGCAGTGGGAGGGCCCCAGCACTTGGCAGAGGACTGGCGGTGTATTCCCCTCCCTGCCAAGTGAGCTTTGCTGCAAGAGAATCCAGCCTGCGAACATTCCTGGCCACACTTCTGGGGTTTTCTCTCTCAACAGGGGCCCCCGCTGGGACACAAATCTCTCAGGACAGCATGGGGTCACAGTTCAAAACCTCCTCAGTGAGCTCTACGGAAAAGCCGGCCTGAACCAGGAGTGGGGTTTGATTCGCTACATCTCTGGCCTGCTCAGGAAGAAAGTGGAGGTCCTGGCCGAGGTCAGAGCCACTGAGCTGGCTGTCCGTCTGTCTTTTCTAGCCCCATGCCCTCTTCTTGTTATGAAAACTGGAGACAAGCACCTCTTATGTGTGAAGAAAACCAGTTATTTAATTTATAGGTGGAGCTGGTCCTCCTTTCCTGACCTCCCACTGCTCTTGGAAGGCGAGCAGAAAAAATGAAAATGAAGTTGATTAGTTTTGTTCCTTCTTAGCTGCAGCAAATGGTTTACCAAGAAATAAAATGAAAACTCTCTGTGGCCTGGCACCCTCTTAAACAGAGCTCTCTCATTTCTGTACATCCACAGTATAATCATCATTAATATTTTTAACCCAATGGCCCTGCAAAATCGAGAACCGCTTTCTAAGACATTAGAGTTCAGTGATATGGTAAGGGGATGGTATTTATTATATGTGAATAATGGGGAAACTGAAAATTTAGGATTTTAATATGGTTATTAACCCTTAGCATTGGTGTCTTAGGACTCACGATTGCCCATCCCCTTTGTGGTATATCAGGGAATCCACTGTGTTTGTTGCAGTGGATGGGCATTAAATACCCACTAACAGGCCCTGCAGAGCCAGGCCTGGAGCCACATGTTGAGAGCACAAAGATCATAGGGATGCAGCCCTGCCTGGGTTGCTCAGATTTTTCAAATAAATGGTAACGTGGGTCATAAAGATTGTAAAGGTAAACTTATGACCTTATTGTCGGTACCCTTCCCCTTTGACTTTGCTCATCTCCTCCTCTCCCCCTCTCCCTCTCTCCCCCCTCCCCCT